CCCCCCCCCTACTTGCAGGTCAGCTGATGAATGCCCAGTTGACGTCTCCTCCGGGACGGGTGTCGTGACATCCATTTCAATTTTGTCTGGTTTTCTTCAGCCTGATTCAGTATCAAATAATGGTTCTATGTACACTCGGTAGTGTTTGCCATGCGAAATCTACGTGGCTGTCTGATGTTATTGCTATGGCTGTCCTAGTGCTAACGGTTTCGCTGATGTTTCTCAAACGACCAAACTTGTTAGGACCAGCCACCTTTCGTCAAAGGAAAAAAACCTGAGCTTGCATCGTACTTGCAGAGTCGTTTTTTGGTCTAAGTCTGGGTTTTTCCTCTCCATAGGGGGTAGAACAAACGTGGCATTTGTTGAATGTCCGTTTCAGCATGCTCTGTACTCTTGGTGGTGAGCCTTGCGATGAATGTGGATTTCGTAAAGACTTCTTCCGATGTCTCCTTCTGATGCATCCAAAGCAAGAACCTGAGTTTGGTCGTCGAAGAAAGTATCACTGAACTTCAGGTAGCTCAGTGGTTAAGGCGCAAACTTACTAACTGGAAGGTCTGTGGTTCGAACCCAATCGAGGTACCTCAACTGCTCCTGTCTAGACTTAAGCAATCTGGTAGGATCTCAGCCCCATGCTCCTTTCGCCTGGCATGCAGCTAGGGACCCATAGGGTGGTGTCACAGCTGAACGATTATTGATTATCGAATCATTTATATGCTTTCCCATTTTCCGGTGCACAGAGTAATAAAGCAACGCAGATTATGGCCTTCCACATGCATCTTTCCCTATTGTGGCGTGACCCGACAACGTCGGAGTGTCATCTCTCGGACCCATTCACGCGCTTCACAAGTGCGCGCCCCGTATCAGGCCACAAGTTGAGTACGGTAGTACGGCGTTGAACACGGATGTCATGCTGTGGATGATAACGATGACAGGTTCCAACACTTGTGTTCTGAATGGACCATTCCGATAGAGTGTGAAAAACAGTCCAATTCAATGCGGGATATCACCCGGTTCATCCACGTTCTCCTGGAGTAGCTAACTCCGAACCACAGGTATTGAAAAGAGTACGGGTCGAATTGGGTGGTTCGTCTGATCACGAAGCCACCCTTCCCTAAAACGATGATTGTAACGATAGTGATGATCGGCTACTTTGGTGAGAAGATTTGATTGGTTGGTTGATTTAAAAATTACTGCACCTAGTTTTATGGTGTTTCCATCCTCGAGGGAAAACACTTCAGCTGAAGACGCGAATTTCCGCAGCGTGGAACTTTTCTGTCAGACCCGAAGGGGAGTCCTTTTTTTCCCAGAATGTGTGCATCAACAGCCGTAAAAACCGCCTACTCATTGTATAGTGGTGATTAACTGCCACAGTTCTGTTCGCAGATGACCTGCGGTGGTAGGGGTGGATGGCTACGCGTTGGAGACCATAGCTGATCCCATTGATGCATGCATACAGAACTGCCAGTGGACTCTTCATTGAGGATTTTGAGAGAAGAGCTGTGCACTGAAGGCGACAGCTTTGATGGAACGCGACTGAGCCATGTCTAACGATGTCTCTAACCATTGATGTGTCTCGAGGTCCTCATTCAGGTAGACGATAATAACCGGCGCAAGTGAGTCAACTGGTAGTAGCTTTTGGCCTCGCCACCAAATCATTGCTTAATTTGGTTTGTCTACTGGTACGCAGTGGTGACCCAGATGGGCAAAATACCTTTTGCTACAAGTGAGCCCATCTGCTTCAGCTGTTGGAACGTGTAACGTGATGCTGGTCAGTCGGAGATGCAACTCCACTCTGGCAGTAATTTTGGTTCAGCGCTCGATCAGCGGTCAGTTGATTTAGAACTGCCAGTGGACTCTTCATTGAGGATTTTGAGAGAAGAGCTATGCACTGAAGGCGACAGCTTTGATGGGATGCGACTGAGCCATGTCTAACGATGTCTCTAACCATTGATGTGTCTCGAGGTCCTCATTCAGGTAGACGACAATAACCGGCGCAAGTGAGTCAACTGGTAGTAGCTTTTGGCCTCGCCACCAAATCATTGCTTAATTTGGTTTGTCTACTGGTACGCAGTGGTGACCCAGATGGGCAAAATACCTTTTGCTACAAGTGAGCCCATCTGCTTCAGCTGTTGGAACGTGTAACGTGATGCTGGTCAGTCGGAGATGCAACTCCACTCTGACAGTAATTTTGGTTCAGCGCTCGATCAGCGGTCAGTTGATTTATGACAAACCTAATCCCTGTTTCAGCCACTACGAACTCAAATAGTTTCGCTTCAGTGCGTGCACAACAGCACTGCTGGTCTCTCTGTCTGAATTTAGTGCATAACCGTAGGAGAGGATGGTGCAGTAAGCAGCCGAAGTTGTTTGATGGAAATGGTGTGATTGACCGACAGCGGTTCGTTGTAGACTCCCTGCGGCTGGTGTTTGGAGGGTCATCAATGCTGCCATCATTTGGCTTGAGCATAAAAGTACATCATCCGGTGGGATATCTATGGCCGACGAAGTTTGTCGCTGCCAAATATGAGGAGGCTTTTCGGTGTTTTAAGACAAAGGTAGTCGAAGGTGTGGAAGTGATAGCGCATGTCAACTTATTGTCCTTTTGACTGGTGTTGGTCATACTCAAATAAGGGATAAATGAACTGCTAGAAACAAATGTCACGAAAACTTGGATTCTCCCGAAAAGCTCCCATCTTACAAATTTGTGAGAAATCTGTGTTGAAAATGTTCCTAAATAACTAAATCTTAATTAGCTGGAAAGCAATGCAGACAATTCGTTTTTGCATGGATTCTCAAGCGAAAGCATTCACCGGGAAACGTTTTCCCATCTTCCAGTTTTTCATCAAAATGATAGTTCCCCTATCGATTCTCACATTGAGAATTTGGCGATGGGGGCTTGTCGGCTCCACTTTTAAGGTTGTTTGAATCGTAGCTTTGCTCTTCCTTTCGAGTCATCCCAAGAATTTTGTCGGAACATGTGAGAAATACCGATACGTCTTAGAGTGGAAAACACCTAATCAGCCCTACCGTAGACTCACGGCGACAGTCGCAACCGCTTGGGGTTTTCACATAGTAATTGAGGACAGCGTGTACGCACTGCATATTGCGCGAACGTATCTGTTTCCACATTGACCCGCAGGACACCGCTGGCCAGGAGCGTTTTCGAACTCTTACTCCCAACTTCTATCGTGGTGCTCATGGGGCTATAATCGGTAAGTCACTACCATTTTCGAATGTTACGTGTCTTGTTTTTTTTCCAGTGAAGGACAATCTTTACTATTGTTCGTTGTCGTTACTACAGAGATTAGTGGACTGAGCTTCTTCACGTTGGATGTCAAAGCTTACATTTTCGAACTACAGCGATTCCCTTCCGTGCATGTTTCGTGACCCAAGTGCTCACCAACCCTCCACAATTCACTTAATTAGTTCGCTGGAATCTATCACTCCGGCTGACTTTATGTCCAACCCGTACAGGAGACTGTTGATTTTTTTTTGTGCTCTGCCAATTCGTGCATTGTTGGCTTGAACCACCAAGGGATTCCTGAGGTGCACATTGCTGTTGTTCCCAATAGGGATGGAATAACCCTGAAATGCTTGTCGCCTTTCCAGCATAGGTTGACGTCACTTACAGGATGATACACCTTAACATTTCCAAGTCTCTGAACAACAACGATTTTTGTTGCGTAATTCTAAACGCTCTGAGTTTTTTCGATTGCTCCTGGTAATTTGTCAGTATCACAGTCCTTGCACTTTCTTCAGGCTCCTGGACCGTTACTGTCATTGAAGTGGAAAGTTCTTTAGGAGAGGCGTGTTCGAAGCCATCGAGGGCGTTCTCACTGTGTACCTCGTTGGGCCCATTCAGCTGTGTTAAATTGTGTCTCTCCTACTATGCTTTTTTTCCACGCCTAGTGACGAGATAACTGTAGATGGAAGGGCTTGGTGACCAATCTCTCACTACTGTAGTAATATGGGGGGCGAGATGGCCCAAGTGGTTAGAGCGCGAAATTACTGATCGAAAGGTCCGTGGTTCGAACCCTACCTCTGCCTCTCGACTTCCCCTACCTAGGCTTGGGCAACCTGGCAGTATCCCAGCCCTCGTGCTTCCTTCGGGTGGCATGGTAGTTAGGCACCGAAAGGGTGCTACAGCTGTACGATAACATAACTGTAGTAATATTACTGTCCTTCGGTCGGGGGGTTTAGTCAGCCGCTTTGACTATAAGTCCTAATGGTCCTCCTGTGCAGCAACTAGAGCCACAGCAAGATATGACTTGCACCAAAAGAATTCATCTCTTTTTTCATCTTTGACATGGGCCTATTGTATGTTCCATACAACATGAGAGGCCAACGAAACACCGCCTCTCTTCTTTTTAATATTCCCTGCATCCTCCCTCAGTCTGTTCGATGATGAATCCGTCGTATGACGGTGGATCATTCTCGTAAACACTGCCTCTGTGCTGCTGGCAAGGACGCATCGATGTAGTACACCTTCTTATGTAATTTAGGAATTACACATCTGATGTTCTCCAACTCTCTTTAGCACATTCATGTCTTTAGCTCATCCGCCTTCCCAGCAACCATTGAACACCCACCAAAGATGGCTTCGTTCATCATCTCATTGTAAACTTCTCACCTAGACAGGTTGGTAGTTTAGCTAGTGCAGTTTCTACCTGACTTTTTCAAGCTGGTTTTGGGGTCGCACAATACACTTCTCGTTTTTTCAAATCGAGTCGAATGAAGAAGATAGTTAAGCATGGAGTTTGTTCGGCATCTTATCAAGCGGATTTTGTTGTAAGAGAATTTTCCGCAAGCGCTTCGTAACATATAGGTATGATTTGTCAAATAAAAAATATTAAAAAATCGTTCAGCTGTAACCATCTTTTGGCGCCTAGCTGCTACGCCGCCCGAAGGAAACACGAGGGCTGAGATACTGTCAGGTTGCCCTAGCCCAGACAGGAGAAGTCGAGATGCCGAGGTCGAGTTCGAACCACAGACCTTCTGGTCAGTAAATTCATGCTCTAACCACCGACCCGTGACCCCCTGTACAATTCATAACGTCTCCTTCAGTACAGTCGTATGCAAAATAACATGATAGAAACTGTCACCTACCCAGAATTCCAAAACTGATTGAAAGCCAGATGATCCGGATTTGGTGTACTTCGAAATTTTCTACTGATAAAGTCCAGGATCCAATGAAGATGAGTCAGAACATTGTTACGACTGTAGTGCAGAATGTTCCATCAAAGTGAGAATTTCTTCTTCCGTTGAGTCTGTTTGGTACAGCATTTCCACAACTATTTTCTGCTCGAGATTTTACCCCGCAAGCGAAGCCAATCTACGCTGAAAGGCTGAGAAGCACTGTACAGCTGTTTGGGAGTCATCAACGATGCGCATGTCACGAATACCCATGGAGATCGAAAGCCGCGACCCTCCGGTCCGTAGTGAGGTCTATAATGTCGGCGAGATGGCTCAGTGTTGAGAGCACGAATTTACTGACTGGAAGGTCCATGGTTCGAACCCAACCTCTGCCTCTCGTCTTCCCCTACCTAGGCTTGGGCAATGCGACTGTATCCCATCCCTCGTGCTATGTACTGGTGGCACGGCGGTTAGGCACCAAAAGGGTGGTACAACGGAGCGACGATGAATGATTTAGATATGGCATGGCACCACTCACCCAGCCAGTCAGACAATTCACATCACATGCTGACTGACTCCTCGAGTGATGGCATCTCCGATGGAAGATCCATTCAACCTGTGAAATGTTTTCTCTTCCTAGAGGACTACTTGAAGACTGCTGGTCGTCTTCGTGCAATTTAATTTTGCGAAATCCTGCATGACACTCGGAAAAGGTATCGTGCCCTCCCAGGATGTTTCAGCGTGCTTTCAACGTCACCTATAGCTTCTGATAATACCATGATTAGAATTTCGTTTGTTTTGCTTCGATCACGACTGCATTGCGACAAGACCGGTCTGAGGGTGCACGCCAAGCTTCCCACACTATGGAATGCAAGAAGATAAGGAAATCTAGTAATGATATCTCCACTGTCCATTTTGATTGCTTTGTGGTTTTTTGAATTGCTTGGTTTGACCCTGTAATCTCTTGCCGACCCGCCTGCCTTGTCTGTGTTGTTTCAGTATATGACGTCTCGAATCGAGGAAGCTTCGATCGGCTTTCCAATTGGATGGAAGAACTAAAGACGTTCTCTAGTCATCACGACATGGTCCGCATGCTTGTTGGCAACAAAATCGATCACGTGAGTGGTGCGGTAGTTTGTTTCACAGTATTTTATGACTCCGATCGTTCGGGAAAACAGAATTCAGCGTTTCGATCACATCTAATCCAGGTTGGATCAATATCTTACTGTCGTTTTGCTCACACGGTATTGTACGCTAATGTAATTTGTTAATGATCGTTTTTGGCAAATTGCGTACAGTTTGGGTTAAAGTAGGAAATCAAATTTATTGGGCGAAAACTCGGGGATTGCGACTAACTAGTGGTCCATAAGAGCGAAGAAACTGATTGCGGGCTATCGAAGAGTTTTCAGGAAACTCATAGGTGGCATGTTCCTTCAAGGAAAATACGCTGCGATACCTTTCAGCGTACGATTCATTTGAGGTTCTCATAGTACGTTGATGCATTTCTCAAATGAGAGCATCACTCAACTACAGCACCCTTTTGATGCTTGACTGCCTAGCCACCAGGAGGAAGCACGAGGGCTGGGATACTGCCAGGTTGCCCAAGTCTAGACAGGAGAAGTCGAAAGGCTGAATACCTGCCTGATAGCAATTCAGCGTGCGATCCAAGCAGGACAACAAAGATCCCACACTTAGTACTATTGAAAGCCATGGATGACGTTGGCGAAGGCAGCTGAAAGCAGCTGCTTAGCAAAGCAACAACAACCAGGAGGGTCTCGATGCCTATTCCAGGGTTTGTGGAGAGTTTACAGGATCTCGCACTATTATTTCAATGTAAAGTTATCTTTGAATGCAAACGACCAGCAAACTGCAGGCGCTGCTCTGGGAAAAGAAAGTATTTCGCGTGTTGAATAAGCCATCCGTCGGAGAAGTCATCACTTTGAGGAGTCAGTCAGCACGTGATGTGATTGAGCGAAAGCACGATACAACCGGATTTCATTTGAAGAAGTGAGGGGTAGATTAGCAAGCGAAGAATACTCAACACTTGTCCTCCATGGGCATTCTGACATTTAGGTGGGCACTATGGACGGTAACTGCCAACGAGTGCGTCACCATAAACTATTTGGTCTGTATCAACCTGCGTTTTGAAAAACCGGTGGCTTCCCTTGCAAAGCCCCCCCCCCCACAGAGTTGTTGTTCTTATCCCCTGCAAATATTTTACTTCAAGGTGAATTTTTCGTCGCACTACTGAAATGCTTGCAACTGCTTGACAGGGGCCGAAATTTGGCATTTTTGGTAGATATTTCAAGCCTCCTTCATTTCTTAGCTTTTCAGTACAAACCCCTTGCCAAGAACTATGTCACTTGTCTCAAAGATTACACGTAGATTGGCCTGGGTCATCTATTTGTTGAAGCGACTTTCACGAGATATGTCCGCCGTAATATGTAATTCACCTGATCTGTTTGCAGAAAAAACACTCGCGTCTAACGTCGAGACCAGGGGTACATGATCTATCTCACGACAGAGGACGGTTAGCCTCTGCTAACATCTCGCACACCAGCAATCTACTGGGTACCGACTACACGCCACATTCTTCCGATACTTCCCGATTCCAACATTCAACCAATTCCTAACATGGTCGCTATTCAGCTCAGCTCGGCTACCCTCTTTGAAGTTCATGTTCTGATGTGTATTAATCAGCTGCTGACAGATGAGTCTTCGCTTTAGCTGTTGCCAGACACTCAGCAACACGTCTGTTTCGGATTTCGACGTTGCACTCCACGCAGCTTCCTTTGAATGTCTTTAAATGGGTGGTGCCTTTGTGACGCATCATTGCTTTCTTGAACCTCACCAATCTTTGAGATACCACTGAGATGGGACAGTTTTACTGTACTACCCTGTACTTTTTTAACGTTTGATCAGCCGGATGTATTAGCAGCAGGTTGAATTCCAGCCACTTGGCACAAATGGTTCTCCCTGGCTGAGATGCCATCAGATTTCTCAAGCCTAGACAAGAACAGTGGGGTTGGGTTTGAACCACGGACCTTCCGGTTAGTAAACTCGCGCACCCGAGGAGAGAGCTCGTTCTTGACATCCAGAGCGTGGCCTCGTTGGGTGTGACTAATAATCTTGATCAACAGGTTCGAGAAAATTTCAAAATGTTATGAAGGTTTTCAGAAGTGTTTTTTGGAAACAACACCTCCTCCGGTGTGTTCCGACCAAAACTGGTGTGATGCAACTCCCACAGATTTCCCCGGATTCCCGTCAGAGGTTCCACTTTTTGCGATTGTCAGAGTGCGTTGAAATTGGTTGTTTTTCTCTTCTATTCATCTTGTTTTCTACAACGTCCTCAAACTCTTCTTAATAAGAACGAGGATATAGTCTAAAAGAAGTCGTACTCGTGCTCAAAACGCGAAGTAATAATAATCGTTCAGTTGTAACACCCTTTCGGTGCCTAGCTGCGATGCTAGCAGAAGGAAGCACGAGGGCTAGAATTCTGCCCGGTTGCCCAAGTCTAGACAAGGGAAGTCGAGAAACAGAAGTCTGGCTCGAACCACGGATCTTCCGATCAGTAGATTAGTGCTCTAATCACTGAGCCATTTCGCCCCCATAGAAACCCAATCAACAAATGATTTCTATTCGACCACTGTATGTTTAGGTGATTCCGAGGAAACGTTTGCTGTGTCTCACTTTGCAACCTAAGCTCCACTAACCTATCCAAGAACGACATTGTTACTAGATTCTGGCCGTAAAATCATCATCATCATTGTCAGCTGTAAGAACCGCGTACT